GCCAAAGAGCTGATTGGTCACAAAAAAACAGGAACCAACATGTCGATATATTACCGAACACCCCAACAGGTTTCTATCGGCTGTGACTTCAACCACAGAACTCCTTAACGAACCGGCGTGTTTGCTTTTGGCTTCAGCTTCACCTTTCCTTTCCTTTACTGGTTTATTTAAGTTTGTTATGAAGTTAAACGCTGAAATTCAATTGTAGGCAAATTCAAAAACACTAAAAACAATAAAGGTAATTATCATATGTACACAGTGAAGTTGTCCATTTCAAATTATAAACAGTGGTCATACAAACATCCAGATTATAATCATAACTGTGAATAACCGTATTTTTTTACTCTCAATAATAAACGTCTGAAACAATCATGGACGCCTCATGACAGCCAGAGTTCATCATTCTGATTAAACCCCAAATAAATGGACCCCTCGTTCTCACGGTAACGACACCCGGCGTTTCCTTGGTAACGTAGAGCCCACGTTCATCTCCGGCGCTCCACCCAACCGTCTACTTCCCATCCACATACGTCACAAACTCTGAAGAACTTCCAGAAGAGGGATGACGATTACCGTTTTAACCCAAACCGTGATTCTTTTTCTTTCCTGATCATATGTAGCCTAAACTTGAATGGTCGAATCTTTTAAAATGTGTTAAAATGAGATATTGAATGTGTCGTTAGGAGCTTGTGGTTGTATTTCAGTCGCACACATAAGCGATAACAGGCATGTATGTCACATTGGAAATATTGTCAGTTCCCGTATTCAGGCGTCTTGATTATAAAGAAAATGAATGAAATATAAACGTTGGCGGGAATAGCAGCTAAAATATTCACTGTGCTTGTGAGCTTCATGAACTCTGTGACTCAAATTGACTCTTTGTGTATTTATTGTGGCGGCTGGTTTACGGCGTTACAGCCGTGTTGTTTGTTTTCCGGTCGCACGTTAAGAAGCAACCGGCAAGCGCTCCTTCACGCATTTAATTCCATCACGCAGAACACACATAAACACATGCTTCTACATTCAGACAAGGACTACCTAGCAAACACACACACACGAGTCATTTTCTGAAGCATATAATAACAGTTTGGGAGCTCGTTCAGACTTCCAGACGTATGTTGGCCCTCTAAACAAAAGGCATAAACAATAATTTGAATAAATGGAGGTAATTTCCTGCAGCAGAATGTCTAATCAGAGCCGTATTCTACTGGAGGACCACAGCGCAGGGCGAGTGTGAGTGTGTGTGAAGGAAAAAGGCGAGAGAGATTTCAGGAATTCATGCAGAGACACGTAAAAAAAACCACATCCCAAACTACCCATCATGCCTTGCCAAGCCTGCTGGCCGACCAAACGAACACCGGGTCCATCTGCGCCCGCCAAGAGCCTCTCGTACCTCCAAAACATTTACCAAAAACCCGCTAACAACCCTTCATTACTCTGTTTGCCCCCCTTTCCCCCGACTGGGCGAGGTAAAGGATCTCAGGAGACTTTTCTCCAGACTCAACAGGAACCGTGTGAGATAAATGACGTCCACGAGCGTCAACGGTTAACGCGTCCACCTTTAACAGACATCCAATGATCGGTTACTCCTCATGTAAGTTTAACAGCTACAGTCAATATCAATGAGTCGATTTCTGCTCGTGACGCGAGGGAAATAACTAATTTGGCTTCAGCTAATGATGAAATGTAATGATCAGGATCATAGACGTCACTCTTTGTTTGTGCTGTACCTTTTTTTGCACACACGTCCAGTGCTTCACAAAAGGTGGGGACATGGTTTGGACATATAGGCGGACAGATTCCCTCCCCCACACCAGTTCACAGGTGTTCTCACTTACTCCCGTTGATTAGACCTCCGCCCAGGTGGAGCCGGATCCATTCGGATTATGAGAAGTCTGTAAAGTACATGTGAGAAACAAGAAACGGTCCCTGCAGAGTGTGAGGAGCCGTGTTCATGAATCCAACTCAACGGCCCCCGAACAACCAAATTAATAAAGGATAATAAAAAATGAAACTCTAATTAGGATTGACAGTCATCGGTCACCAAGTCTTATTTTGAAACTCCGCTTGGAAAAAAAGGCGCCTGTCATTAAAACCAGTTTTCTTTTACTTTGTCTTTATTGCTGGTGAAAACGTTGGTAAAGGTAAAAGATATATAGGTATAGAAAAAGAATAATTAAATAAATATTATTATTATTTGTATTTTTATTATTAATAGTTCCATTCCTTTGTTTATCAACAAGAAAAAATATAATGATTAACATGTATTATTCTAATTGTAATCAAAAAATAATTGTAACAATTAGACCTTTTTTCAGCTACAGGAGCATTTATAAATGCAGGTAAAACATTTCAGAAATAAATATAAAATGTGTTAACACACACCGCTTACAGAAGATTAGTCGGCGGGAGTTCTGGTCGCTGCCACAGCGACCTGCCGGGCTTTTGTGAAAACAGCTGGAGAATGTTTTTGGGCCCAACTTCCAGACCATTTAAAAATATCTATTTATTTTTCACTTCAGAATAATACATCATATTATTCTAATTGGAAGGGGTCATTGCTGTACTGTTATTTGTTTTTAATATTGTTTTCAGTGTGTGTCGCGAATGACCAAAAATAAAAATATAAGTCAATAATATCATTTCACAGGAAGAGGCAGAATGTCCACTAGATTAATAATAATATATTTATTCATAATGCACTCTTAATCAACAGATCAGAGTATGCATTCTTAAATTACATTACATACAATTTTATTCTATTTCAAATCTTTTAATGTCTTTTTTTATGAAGCACTTTGAATTTCCTTGTTGTTGAAATGTGCTGTACAAATAAAATTGTCTTGCCTTAAAATCTTAAGTCTCAAGATAATTCCGGATTAAACCACTTCAACTTCCTTTGGCATCTCATTGGTACGACTTCTTTAAGTGCCTGCAGTTTGTTTTAGAAATCCATTAAAAACTCATATTTTCAAGACTTTTAATCAGATTCATACTTTAATGCCAGCGACGACCGAAATGATTCCTCATCTCTGCACCGCTGGTTGTCGCCACTTATTTGTCCTCAATCGTCTTACTTTGCAGCTTCAGCCACAGTCGAGGACTTCCAGATCCGTCCCCACTGTCTGTTCGTCCACTCGTACCGAGCTCCGGCCTTCTGCGACCACTGCGGAGAGATGCTGTGGGGACTCGTTCGTCAGGGACTCAAATGTGAAGGTAGGAAACTCCCCAACGAAGCACAAGGAAGAGAAGTCAGGTTTTCGACGGCGTGTTGATTCACCTTCTTCCTGTTTGTGATCAGGCTGCGGTCTGAACTATCACAAGCGCTGTGCCTTTAAGATCCCCAACAACTGCAGCGGAGTGAGGCGCCGCCGCTCATCCAACGTCTCCCTGACGGGGGGGCTGATAAATCTGGGTCGACCCCTCTCTGCCGAGCCCTCGCCCCCCCTCTACACCGATGAGGCTTTACTGGTCAGTCCACTTCATGAATGCCCTGAAATTTCCCTCTGGGGCCTCCGGTCCACACTGACGAGTTCTTAATTAAGTCTTCAGCCTTCGGCGCATTTGTTCCTGGCGGTGATTTATAGACGCTACAAGATGGAGGCTGCAGGTCCCAGACTAAAGTCCAACTGCCACACCTGTTGAGGGCAATGCAGAGTAGGGAGACACAATAGTTCATCTCATTCAGGCCGAGAGACAGAGAGTTTCATTATAGATCCGTCTGCCAAGTAAATATCCAAATGCTAAATCACAGTTGCTTTGTTCTGACCTACATGTGTTAGACAAAGAATAGGAAATATCTGCTCCACGGAAATCTGGACATCTATCACCTTTGTTTTTAGGGTATTTTCAAAGTGCACTCGCGTAGATTTTTAGAAACTTTCTTACTACATTTACACTTGATTGGCGCTCTGGTGCCAGAACCCAATCAGGAGACGGTTTTGGTCCTTATGACTTTCATAAGGTTTGACTTTGCAGCTACTTGTGTCAAACAAATACCTAAAAAAGTTCCTCTTATAATAGTGTCTAAATGCAATACAATTCTGGACTTGAGATGCTTAAATGAGCCCTGTAGTTTTAATGGAAAAGGTGATGATATCTGTAGATTATTATATTTGGTACCGACTCTAATGATCATTATTTTGTTCTCATTTCCAGTCTCCAGTCAGTCCCAGCATGGAGGTAAAATCCACCACTTTTGTTCAGAAATGTAATCCCTGGGGTATAGTACTTGTATAGTACTTTGTGAGGCCTTTTTACATACAGAATTTAAATGTTGTTTAAAGTGGGGCACTTGGCTAAAAAACAAATCTGGAAACTGTTCCAGATGATAGTTTGTTCCCCAATAAAATGAATGAACGGACTAAATTTTCCCTGGTAAAAAACCATCACCTGGAATACTTTCTAAGTATATCTATATATACTATATATATCCAAGTGTTTTGTGAATGAATCTACCTTGTTGGTTGAAATGTTCATGGAAAGTCACAGCCACTCGTCCACACTGCTCTCCTGATCTTTGCCTCTTTTCTCAGCAGAAGAACCAATTAGATTATTTCCCCGGTCGAGAGCGGCGTTCCAGCTCCCAGTCGTATATCGGACGTCCCATCGAACTCGACAAGATCTTTTTGTCGAAGGTCAAAGTTCCTCACACCTTTCTGATCCACTCGTACACCCGACCCACCGTGTGCCAACACTGCAAGAAGCTGCTGAAAGGCCTCTTCAGACAGGGCCTGCAGTGCAAAGGTGAGCACTTCAATTTGAAATTATTCCTGGGTGGTTAGACTCTGCAGTAAGCCTAAAATTACAAAAGTATTTAGACAATAGAAACATCATCCTGATGATTTATCTTGTTACAAGCCACAAAGTTAGAGTCAAATTTTCATGTGTTAAAGCTCTTCTGGTCCCATAGACGTCTATGAGGAAATGACTCTACTTCTCTGTAGTGACCAGCAGGGGGCGACTCCTCTGCTCCCATAGACGTCTATGAGGAAATGACTCTACTTCTCTGTAGTGACCAGCAGGGGGCGACTCCTCTGCTCCCATAGACGTCTATGAGGAAATGACTACTTCTCTGCAGTGACCAGCAGGGGGCGACTCCTCTGCTCTCATAGACGTCTATGAGGAAATGACTCTACTTCTCTGTAGTGACCAGCAGGGGGCGACTCCTCTGCTCCCATAGACGTCTATGAGGAAATGACTCTACTTCTCTGTAGTGACCAGCATGGGGCGACTCCTCTGCTCCCATAGACGTCTATGAGGAATGACTCTACTTCTCTGTAGTGACCAGCAGGGGGGCGACTCCTCTGCTCCCATAGACGTCTATGAGGAAATGACTCTACTTCTCTGTAGTGACCAGCAGGGGGCGACTCCTCTGCTCCCATAGACGTCTATGAGGAAATTACTCTACTTCTCTGCAGTGACCAGCAGGGGGCGACTCCTCTGCTCCCATAGACGTCTATGAGGAAATGACTCTACTTCTCTGTAGTGACCAGCAGGGGGCGACTCCTCTGCTCCCATAGACGTCTATGAGGAAATGACTCTACTTCTCTGTAGTGACCAGCAGGGGGCGACTCCTCTGCTCCCATAGACGTCTATAAGGAAATGACTACTTCTCTCTTAATTTATTCCCTCAGTAAACATTGTAAACATGAGTTTATGTCTCAGTCTCTAGTTTCAAGTCTTCTTCAACACAACATGATGTTTATTAGTGAATTATGGTCCATTTAGAGTCAAACAGACCATGAAGAGGGGGACACTTTAGGGCGGCGCTACATGCTGATAGGTTTCTACCATTGAAGTATTTGGCGTCTCCATATCGTCTTTAGTCCAGACATGGCTGCTTATATTTGGTGCTAACAAAATGAATGTTATTTTGTCCACCAAATGTCTGACTAAAACCTTCTGGGTTCTAATGGCTGTTCTGTTCTTGTTCCTCCCTCAGATTGTAAATTTAACTGTCATAAACGATGTGCTCCTAAAGTACCAAACAACTGCCTGGGAGAAGTTTCCAAAAACGGAGGCAAGTTTCATCACATTCTTCGATAAATAGCTACCTTACAACTACATAAACAAACCTTGTCTTCTTGTCCCGACAGTGATGGCTTAGAACATCTGGTCCTCACAACGATAGAAACATCATTACAAACTCAGGTGAATGTCTGTTTGTTTGTTTCACAGAGCTCCTCAGCCCGGGGGCGGAGTCAGACGTCGTCCTGGTGGAGGGTTGCCTTGACGACCATGATGTCGACCGAGTTGGCGGTATGTTGGACGATATGGATGAAGCTATGACATTAGAGGGTGGCCTCTCGAGGGAGGCGGGGCCAGGCGACCTCTGCGACCCCGACCTGGACGAGTCCAACCGGGCCATCAGGTAACTGCATCACACACACATACACAACGCGAACAAGAAAGAAACACACGCGCGATGATGAGATGAGGTTGACTTTGGTCCCGCCCCCCTGCAGCCCGTCCACCAGTAACAACATCCCTCTCATGCGAGTCGTTCAGTCCGTCAAAAACACAAAGAGGAAAACAAGCAACGTAATGAAGGAGGGCTGGATGGTCCACTACACCAGCAAGGACACCCTGGTATGTCTACCGTTTACCTGTTGACCTGGGTACCTGTTGACCTGCCTAACTTTCTACATGTTGACCTGTTTATTTTCAGGATTGTTTTCATTATGAATCATAATTTATAATTTATTTTATTAAATTATCTTTTTGCTTTAGCTTTTTGTTCATAAATTCAACAGGACGAGATATTTAGTGGGAAACAAAGAACTAAAGATGAATCTGAAATGATCCACCACCTTAATATGAGCTAGTTTATGGAATTATTAATAACACTAAACAAAAAAACAGAAAATGAACAGTCAGGTATCATATTTTCCGAATTAGTCCTAGACGTCTCTCATTAACTAAAACACTTTCATGAGAGTTTTTTATAATTCAAGGGTAATAAAGTATGTACATTTGTTCACTCCTCCTCTTCCTCCCCTTGTTTCAGAGAAAGAGACACTACTGGCGGCTGGACAGTAAATGCATCACGCTGTTTCAGAGTGACACAGGAAGTAAATACTACAAGGTAAGAAGAGCTCCGTCACCGACCTCCATCAACCTGTTGTCAGAGTCTCAGTCGTCTTATTAAGAATCTCCTTGTTGTGTGGATCTTCCTCTTGAGGCGTTGGAATGCTCATGCCTTGACTGGAAGACAGCAGAAAACTACCAGCATCCTTTTAGCTTTGCCAAAAAAAATGATACGCATCTCCTCGGGTCTGTTGGTCCAATCAAGTTCAATTGGAAAACAATTTGCTTCACTTTTACACAAGATGAAGCTGTGAGAATAAAAAGTTCCACAGTGGGAATAATAAAGGATTATCTTCTCTTAACTTGTTTTTTGTCCGTGCTGGGAAGCTGGTGAGCGATGGTCTACTTTGGTTTCATTCAGATTTGAAAACCAATCAAAAGAAAGATGCTCTTTACGGCGATTCGTTTGTGTTTTCCGTGTCAGATGAAAGCACTTTTGCAGCTACACATACACAACGAGTGCGATGCCCCACCGTCTCTCTGCAGGAAATCCCTCTGTCGGAGATCTTGTGTCTGGAGCCGGCTCAGACCTTGTCTCTCCTCCCCGATGGGGCCAATCCTCACTGCTTTGAAATCACCACGGCAACACTGGTTTACTACGTGGGAGAACACCTGCAGCGGGCCGAGACGTCCAAGAGCAGCAGCAGCATTGTGGTGAATAACCGACGATCACCTTGTTTTCTGTGCTAAAGCCTTGATGTGTCCAGTGGTACAAGAAGTATGTAGATGCTTCCATCAGGTAAAAAGTACCACATCATAAGGGAAAGTACAGATGTATTATTTTCAACATGGTCCTCTATTCTACTGAAGATGATTCATTAGGAATCTATTAATTCAGTGATTCCCAATTTAAGGGTGGGGCCCATCTGAAGATTCCCAGAGTAAATCTCAGGGGTCATGAGAGTATTAATGTTACCGGAAAGAAAAAAAAGATTACGTACATACATTTTATATTATTGAATGCTTGAATGTTCTATTTTCAGTGAGGTATTTGTTCATTTGATCTCTTTTTGTAAACAAAAAGGAAACTCATCAATTACCAACATACATCTAAGACGTTACTATGCCGAGACCTGTTCTAATCTTTAATAAATTGTATTTTCAATGTATATGGATAAAGATTATTGTATATTTAATGTGGAAGTTAGTACAGTATCGCAAAATTGTCCTTACATATATTACTTGAGTAAAAGCGCTTACGTCACACTGCTGCTTATGTCATCACATTTGTGATTCCTCTTAATCACGGATGTGCGGTACTTTCTACTTTCTGACGGATTTTATTGGCTGGCCTCAGATCAGCGGCGTGGGACAGGATGTGGCCCGCATGTGGGAGATGGCCATCCAGCACGCCCTGATGCCGGCCGTCTCCACAGGAGTGTCCCACAGCTCCCACCGCAGCGGACACAGTAAGACAACACAAATATTATTTTATTTTGCTATTGGTAAATACCACATTGCCTTGAGCTGCATTGATGATATTGCTTTACTCTGATAGGTTAGAAATGAGTTGGGCGTGAAGTCGCATATTTATTATCTCGATTGAAAAGTTGTCATTGGAGTCAAAGTAAGGATGAACATTATAACTGAGTGCCACAAGGCTCTATTCTGGTTCTGTTACATTTGGGCCTTTGTGGTGCAGGCGATGAGCTTATTGTTGATGTTCAATGCTATGCAGACGACACCCAGTTCTACGTGGCTGTTAGTTCTGCCCTGTCCGACATGTTAATGCATATTTTTGTGCTATCGAACATTAAGGATAATGATTTCTTCTGTTTAGACCCAGGGACTCAAATCAGCCGCTGATTTTCTTTTAATAACCACAGATTTTTATTCATAATTGCTCTGAAGATTCTGAATTTTCCAACAAAACAATAATTTTAGTCCAAGCTCAACTTAAAGGGACATTTTTGGATGTCTATGTATCTCCAAAACAAATCTCACAAATGGATGAATAAGATAAAAATGTATTTCACAAATAAGATTAACATTTTAAAATAGAAGAACTGATAGCTAGACAATGTAACAAATAAACTATATCTATTACTATATCAGTAGGATTGTCAATGTTTGTGTGAGTTTCCAAAACTGACAAAACCGACTCATGCAACAGTTTTTTTTAATATAAAAAATTACAGACAGGTACTCAGAATAACTACATAAAAAAATATTCATCAAGAATCAATAGAACTTGAATATTTATTCATAATTTACATTATTGGGATGAATAATGTAAAAAAAAGTAAAAATAATGTGTTTATACGTTTAAGGGTCTTAATGTCTTTTCTTTGCATCCATGGATGCCAAAAAAACATTAAGACTATATACTAAAAATTACATATAAATGTAATATTTAGTGTATATATTATAATTAATTAATTTTATCGGAATTCATGCTATTTTTGCAGTGCTGGATGACAGAAAGCCTGAGAGGTTTATTCAGAGTCTCGTATTAAAAACAAATCCATCGATGACGTCGTTGCAAAATACAAAACGGGTTAAAAACAACTTGAAGAATTACGAATTAAGAGTAAGTAGAATTTAAGTATTTAAAACCAATTGGCTTTCTATAAGGCGCAATATCTCTAAAATGTACTTTATTTCTAAATGTTAGAGAATACATCAGCTGGGGAAATATCTGTAAATGAATCCATCTTAAATATTTCAAATGAAGGAAGGTTTTATCCATCGGAATGATGCATTCTGGGGTTTCAGTGTTCAACATAAATCTTATCATGATACATATTATTTGCGTCGTGATACTCTCACGGCAGATATTTTGGAATAAACCGATTCGACTGGACTAAAATATGAATGTTATTATGTCGCCGGTAAAAGGACAGAGATTCCATTCCAGGTTTTAATGTCCCCTAAGGACCGTTGACTCCCACACAAAAGCCCATCAGCGGTGTTTCACAGCTGCGCTGACGTCACGCCGATGAGGAGTAACGCTCCATGCTCACCTGAGGGGGAAACACACATCAATGATTCAATGATAGAACATCTATAACTCCCCCGGTGCACTTCCCTGCAAAGGAGAAGAAGTCTGAAATAACGTTTCTGTCCTTCACAGTTCGATTCTTATTCAGGTTTTTATTATTTCCTTTAAACATGCAGATCTATTTGTCTTTGGTTTTATCTCGTCAACAGAGGAAATCTCCGTCAGTATTTCTGTCTCCAACTGCCAGATCCAGGAGAACGTGGTGAGAAGACACACACACTATCACACAAGCACACATACACACACAGATACACACACACACACTATTCAAATACATACAAACTGTGATCTGACCAGAGGACCGCACAAAGACACGCAAGGACACACAAAGAGACGCAAAGATGTCACTCTGACTTTTAGTGAAGTTTAGAATTTACGTCTACTTTGAGTAGACGAAGGTCTCAAACTCGCAGCTATTGTTTACATCTCCATTCATTTCATTCAACCCCCCCAACCCCACATCCTCAGCATTAACACCATGAAGATCATCCTTAAGAATGTCTGCAAACTATTCATGCAAAGACGCAGATGCCCCTTATCGCCTAATTGTAGCATATGTAGTGTATAATTGGAATTGGTTTTTTGAACTCCTCAAATGTGCAATCTAAATAGAGAGTGGAAAGAAAGATTATAGGAGAGTCAACAGGACGGAAGAGTGACTACACTTATGAGCATTGTTCTTAGGACCCTAACCCGAACGTTCAAAAGAAGTCACGATGGTTAGAGAATGTTCTGAAAATTAAAAAGACAGGCCAGCGTATCGACTAACCGCCCGCACAGAAGTTGAAGGCGCCCGATGCTAGGAAGCTGTCGCACAATACCTCCGACATTGTAGGGTGCTGGCAGGGAGGTTTGTGTGTAAACCCACATAGCGGCAAGAGAGACCCCTTCGTATATCGCTACCAATTCTAGAAGAGGCCATACCG